AAATCACGTCGTTTCAATTGACCCCCTCGGCTGAGCTCATGTGTGTGCCTAAATAGGTCTAAGGGTGTGAACGTATTCTGCAGATTTCGTCATCTGCTTGTCCACACCAACACCTCTTCCTTCGCTCCGAACCAAGCGAAGTATGGTGCTAAGTAAAGCAAGCTAGAAAAATGTATTACATTGAGCTCCAAACCGGGTGAGCAGCAGTCGTGTCAGGGGTAAGGGGAAAAGAGAAATAAGAATATCGAAATTACGGTACATAGTTACAAATGAGGAAAGATGACAATGTGTGTTATATCATCTTCAGTTGGATAGAATCTCATGTTTGTGGGCTGTAGACCCCCCCCCCCCCCCAATACACATACGTACACACAAACCCAAGCAAACAAAACAGCAAGCACAAAAAACTCCTAAAAGCTCCGGCTGCTTTAGGATGCGAGGAATTTGGTTGGGGGTTGGGGGGGGGGGGCGGTTGGGGGGAGTTACGCTTGAAGGTCGCGTAGATGATCAAAATGTAGTAGGGTAGAAACCTTTGGGCTCAGGTTATCCAACGTAACCAATCAATCGCTATCTGGTGTTCTTGTTCAAGCATCAAGGGGTGAAGCCTTGCTCACGTTAGAAAGTGCAAGCCCATGAGAACTGCAATAGGGCTTCTAATTCTAAGATCACAAGGATGTCAGACCAAGTTTTCAAAGCCACACGGAGGGTGTTACTGGGAAAGGAAGGATATCATTTACCCTCTCAGCCTCACAGCCTCACAGCCTCTATGTGGCTCTGCTTGGCAATCTTTTTCGGAGCAGGAAGGAAAGAAAAACACTTTTTCTTTTTCCGTTTAGGAAAGCAACTCCCAACATTATATTTATGCCCCCCCCCCCTTACAGATTCGATTTAACCCCCTTTTTGGGAGGTTACAAATAGATTCAAGGTACGTCAACACCAGGTACATTGACTGTCTGCGTAGACAGACAGGGCATGGAAGGGGTTCATAAATAGACTCACTGTTTTCCAAAAGGCATTGGAACCCCTTTATTGTCAGAATAATGTTCAAGTAAGCTTATACTTACTCTCAAGTACATTTGTAACTTAAATATGCTTGTTCTTGCTCTTTCTTTCCTATCAAACATCTATAGTCCTTAACTCTCCTTCTTTTCTTTGTATGTTACTCTCTCTCGCAAAACTTCTAATCTTCAGCACTTATATGACTTATTTGTCTTGAAAGTGCCGCAAACTTTTACTAAAGCTAACTAAAACCTTTTTTCTTTTTTCTATTTTTGCTCTGCTCTGACCACCAGGCGCGGTTCGTCCATAGAGCACGGTCGTGCAGTGCTGCCCAAAATATTTTAATTTCTATTACGTAAAACACCCACAATGATAAAATAAAAGAAACCAGAAACAAATGCTAGCCAAATATCATCTCAAAACAAGGTCCTCACTGGCGCCATAACTGTCATTTCTGTGTCTACAGCGCCGTAAAACATCTACTTTGCCATGCCCAAGTCCATGCGCTTTAGCTAAACATAATAGGATATTCAACAGCGTAAAACGCTCTTGGGGATAACCCAAGCGATGATGACTCTCTTAGCGAGTTTGGCGGTACATTAATATTAATAAGACGGCACATCTCAAATGTGCTCTTGCCGAACAGTGCCGAAACATAGCCCACAGTAAGCAGTTTAGAAATAAACGTGATAGACTGTACGCTATCCTTTGCCGATATTATGTGAGCCCCGGAGAAATCCAGCGAAGTGCTCAAGTGAATTGTGATTGGTTCATTGTCTGTCTTGTCACTATCTTAAGTGACCCTGTGATCGTGAACCTGAGGGAGGTGAACCTGACCGTCCTATGAGTTGTGCCTTTGAATGGTTTTGTAGTGGAGTAGTGAAAGTTATTACTTGAGTGTTCAGTCCCAATACAGGATAAACGAAATTGATGTTTAGCTAAGAAACAAATTTAGCCCTTGAAATTAAAGCGACAATTAAAAAGAATGAAAGTAAAAGCACGAGGTCGTCCCTCACCAACCCAAAGATCCTAAAATTATACACCGTCTCATTTACTATGCCCTTGACTGTCTTCAACATGCGATAGCTTAATTGTGCACATCCACTTTTTAGTCCCACGTGCCTCCCCTGCTGACCACAGAGTCAACTGCTTCGCCTTCAACATGAAAATGTCTGTATGATTCAGACCAAACAAATTGGGCAAAGCGCGTGTTGTCCCCAACAGTTAATCTACAAAACACGTTCTCAAAAAGCCGCCAGAGTTGTGTCTTGTAAATCGATTAGAAAACACCAGACTAGCATGTCTGATTTTAGAGGGCTTTACGAAATCATATAAGTGCTTGTTTGAATAAATAAACTTCTTAACTCTTGGTTACAGGGATCCGTTGGCAGTTACTACTTCAGTCCCATCTTTTTATTTTTTTATGTGGCCGATCTTGCATTATTTAGTTATATAACAATCAACGACTCATTACTCCTCGGCTCGTGTTTAGCTCAGTTTGGTACCAAGCCAGATTTTGTGGTGCTGATGACTCTGGATCGATTCCCCGATAAAGATAACCTTGAAAATACCTTGTTTTGGGAATTTTCAAGGGTCTACATCTACTTGGACATTACATTTGGAAATCCCACTCTTTATTGTGTAGAAAGGGGCGTTATTTCCAAACCACACCGCTTTTCAATTCAGGCAAGGCCCAAAACCTTTAGACCCAAAAGAATGGGGTGCGCAAATTAAAGCACTACCGATACTGTAACGTAATTTGAGTTTGATTTGGATTAAGTTTGAATTAAAGAATGGGACACATATCGGCAGGACCACGGTTTCATAGTGTGGGGAAAACAAACGCAATAGCGAGAGTGGTTATTGTAAAGAAGAGAACGTTCTTACCAAGGATGCCTTTCAACAACCCTCGTAATTTGAACCAAATTTACTGACGACCGCGTAAACCAAAAAAAAATCAGCCCATAATCACACCCAGAAAACCAGATTTAGCTTTGTCAACGGACATAACGAGTTAACGCACTATGTTGAAGACCCGAGGGTCGTGTTAGTTCCGTTCATGAAGGCCAAAACTGGACTAATCATCGCCTTGAGCAAACGTGACCTTTCACAGGGTTAGTTTTTTTTAGTCATGAGTCGTTCCCTGGTCTCACATGCAGGTGACGGTTACAAGCAACATCAATCATTTTTACTATTTCTCAATGTCATTATACTTAAAGCATAAACATTTACTTTTACAATTCGAAAACCATTTGATTTATGCGTTGGGAGTATCCCCCCCCCCCCCCCTTCAGAGCCGGAAAGGAGAAATGCTCTGATGGGCTTGACTATTCCAACTGAAGAGTGTGAATATGTTGGAGAGGGCTGAGATAGAAGCTCACTTAATAAATTATGTCAGCTTGCCAATTTACTCAAACTTAACTGGTTTGTTAAATCTGAAAGCAGTCAAAATTGAACAAAATAAACTAACATACTCAGACTTAAACTTAGAATTCCATGTCTTCAGATCCATGAGGCAATCAGAGATGAACAGGAAAATTTGTTTGCAGCTGAGGCGGGAGCATCAGTCCATTTCTTGTTAAATAGTTTAATTTATTTTGCTATATTCCGTTACATTTATACACGATGAAATGAAAATGATCTGATATAATGGTTCCTTCCAGGACACCAGAAGACTTTTTGATCGGGTTTGATACCTTCAAGGCTGTGAATCAACCTCACGATTGAAGTGGTATACTTTTATCAGTTGCGTGATCCCTCGCCCGCCAAAAATAATAATATTGAAAATAACAACATTTACGTGTATTCCTCTTTCTCGTTACCTGTTATTTTATAGCTCTTTTTTTCTTGGTAATCAATATCCTCATCATTATGCTCTGGAAAGTAAAAAGTGGTAGTGTGGTGTTTCCTAGGTCAGAAACGAATACTGATTTAATTACTGCTAGACTTTTTGAATCAGTAACACATTGCATGTTTATTATCTTCATTTTTGAAAGTTTAAATATGTGTTTGCATTTCATAAACATTTGATACCTTTGCAATCATGAGCCCCAGCATATTCCTTTGTCTTAAATAATGCACTAAATACATTAGGCACCTATTTAACCTTATGTAATTAATTAATGTATTTATTGTGCATGTGGCGTTTTCTTAGCGGTGGGATGTAGTGACTGGCTAAGGGGGTTGAACAGCCCCCCCCCCCCTATAATGTCTTTCCCTAAGTGAGCTAATAATATATTATTTTAATGTCTCTTAATAAATGAAATAGGCAGTTGAAACCATAGCGACTGCACGCAATAAACAGACGCTGGGTGGACAACGTGGACGCTTGATCGAATATCCAGTCACTACTGTCCCCACTTACAACCATTGTAACCTAAGAGTCAATCAAATGCCTTTAGGGCTCATTAATGGATGAGCCTGTTCCCATTGGTCTTTCTTAATGAAACTCTTCTTGTACAAAGGAAAACGAAAAGAACTTGCAATGCGAACACTGTAGTAGAGGGGGCTCAAGCTCTTACAATGGGGTGGAATTTTATCTCCAAGATTTTATGCCACACTTTCCCCAGTGACTCAGTTACTTACGCGTTCATTATACCTCCGTCAGGTGTTAATGTCTTTCTGTTTACGACATTCCGTGAACCATTTTTAAAGCGACCAATTCACCAGCTGTAATGAGATGAAAAGGCAGAGGTGCGGAAGTCTTGAGGTTAAAGGGCTTGGCGCTCAAAATGTTCGTGGATCATCGTGAGGTCAGGAGAAACATCGTCATTTTATTTTTATTGCTGGCTAATAATTGGTTAAGAAGTGGGTGCAATGTAAGCCTCATACACATTTTGATCCATCAACTGCCGCTGTATATACTTCCGTTTGTGTTTGTTTCATTTACTTGAATGCTGTACCAAAGCGAAGACATCACCTGAAATAAAAGCAAATTCCTAGTGAATTACAAATCACAATGCTTATCTTTATCATTTGCATCTCACTTTTTCTTTTCTCAGAAGTCGGAGGAAGCGGAAAATGCAGGAAATGGAGGAGAAGCGAAGGATTCGAGGTAAGACTTTCTGATATCCCCGTTTCAAGAATGAGAGAAGGAAGAAGCAGATAATAATACGCAGACATACACACACGCACGCACACACACACACACACACACACACACACACACACACACACACACACACAGAGAGAGAGAGAGAGAGAGAGAGAGAGAGAGAGAGAGGAAGAGAGAGAAAGACTGGGTGAGAAAGATAGATAGCTAGAGAGAGAGAGTGACTGGATGAGAGAGAGAGAGAGAAAGATAAATAGATAGATATATAGAATAGAGAAAGAGAGAGACAGAGAAAGTGAGTGAGAGAGACAGAGAGAGACAGAGGGAGGAGAGAGAGAGTGAGAGAGAGAGAGAGAGAGAGAGAGAGAGAGAGAGAGAGACAGAGAGAGAGACAGAGAGAGAGAGAGATATTTGTAGAATTGTTTTCCCTTGCACACATTCTAATCTTTATTTTAATCCTGAAAGATCTTTTTCAGCATTCAGGGGGGTGCTTTTTGCCAGAAATTTTTTCTGTCTTAATCTGTGTATTATAGGGTTTGGTCTGAGAGTGAGCCATAAGAGACGAGATAAACAAATGAAAAAAAGTGAAAAAAGTGGGATGAACATAAGCTGAAATAAACATGACACAACGTGTTACAAACAGGGCGGAAAACAAGTTTTAAAAATACTTCCTTTTAGGGATGTGGGCTGAAGCCCTGAGATGGGAAAGATCACAATGATTTGCAGTGAAGGGGTGGACATAATAATATGCAGCTGAGAAGAAGGAGAGGTGCTGACACTCATGAGGAGTGCAGAATCTTGAGGAAATAATTGGAGATCATGGCGCAAATGAGCGCCTTCTAAGACATAGACCAAGCCACTCCTAGTTCGAATAGCACTCAAGTGACACTACGTATGGCAAAACAAATGAAGGGTTTGCATTCTTCAAAACAAAAAAAAGCACGCAACAAAACAATACTAAATAGCCTATAAATTATTGGGAAAGAAAAGTGAACAGTTGGAGTGTTTTCTTAGGGGGAAAAAAAACATATGTCAAATTTTTACACTTTTGAACCCTTAGTTAAATGAAGTTGTTTCTATCTAGGTCTTGGGTTTGATTTTTTATTTCATTTATTTATTTATTTATTTATTTATTTATTTATTTATTTATTTATTTATTTATTTATTTATTTATTTATTTATTTATTTTATTTTACTTTTTTTTTTTTTTTTTTGGGGGGGGGTGCCTTCAGAGCATTGTTCGAGGACCCTGCCTCTGGTGATAGCTGAAAACTTTTCGAGATAATTATATTCTTTTTTTTGTAAGTGTTTTGCGGCGCTTGCAACTACATAAGGTCATACTTGCACACGAGACCTCCTAGATTGTTCGCCCTTGTCCGAGAAGGCTAGGTGTATATCTTTCTTATCAGAAGATCAGAGGTGTGACTGAAAGACAACAGTAAGAAGGAGCCAAGAGGAAGCTGCAGAAAGAGTCAGGAGCCCAGAGGAAGGGGCAAAGGAGGTGAGGGGGTAGGGGCAGAAAGTGGAGACGGAAGCCGACGATAGAATATGGCTCGAGAGCAGGAAAGGAGGTGAAAGAAGACAATTTTAGAGAAGAAATTTTTCCGTCGCTACCCGGAATCGAACCCGGGACCTTTGAATGAGAGGCGAACACCTTAACCTCTAGGCCACGAGAGCCCCCTTTATTATATTCTATTCAAAACCCGTCTATAACTTTTAAAGATTCCATACCGTGGAAAAGGCAGCAAACTAAAGTGCCACATACTAGTAGTCTAAATATGTTACAGTAAGAATGCGTACCTAGTGAATACGCGTAATCACTGAATATTTTAGTAAATACACGTAATCCCCGTTTCACTCGGGGGTTTCACGTAATCACTGAAATTTCTAGTGATTACGCGAAATCCCTAAAATTAGACCTTATCTTTTTACGTGTGTTTACTAGAGAGCATTAAGTGAATTCACGTAATAGCCCCACCACTGTACAGGGATTAGGCGTTTTCACTGAAACATCCAGTGATTACGCGTATTAACTAGATTGATCTACATGTTCTTACTGTAACATAGATATGTCAGCTGGCAAACAAGGAGACAACGTTTGTGTGCCAGTTCCACTTGTTGATCGAGGGAGAGGCGATGCTAGAAATATCCTAGGTGTCATAATTGACAGACAAGAAGATATCCGTAAAAACTGGTTTGTATTCCAGAAATCGGTTCGATCTGTGCCCTGAGCGTCTTCTGAACACTGACGACATAAACACCGAAAAAATAGTTTCACTGCGTTCGGCGGTGATTTTTCAGCCCTCTTCTGGTGGACAAGGCTTCTCAAGATACAACTGTACGGGTGCCAAAAAGTGTAGTTCGAGGCGATGTAAATGCCGTAAAGCAGGTCTTATGTATAACTCACACCGTCATAGCAGCTTCAATTGTTGTAACAAGTGACGACGTCGATGGATTTTAGTC